GTTGATGGTCTATAAGACAGCAGAGCATAAAACCACTGGATACACTCCAGCAAAGTCGATGTTTGGTCGTGAACTACGGTTGGCAGTGGATCTGTTAACAGGACTCCCACCTTATGAAGAGTTGCCTGAGAGTGTGTCAGAGTTTGTGAAAGTGTTATCGGAAAGGATGGATGATATTCACCATCAATTTCGTTCAAACTTGAAAACATCTGCTGATTCGATGAAGCTATCTTATGATAAGAGATCTACTGAAGTCAGTTTTGAACCAGGAGACAAGGTGTGGTTGTATAATCCCAGGAAGACCAAAGGGAAGTCTCCTAAGTTGTCTTCTCCATGGGAAGGCCCATATGACAAAGTGAATCGTCTCTTAGACGTGACTTTCCGGGTAAAATGTGATCGGCGAGGTAAGCCAAAAGTGGTGCATGCCAACAGGCTTTGGTGTTATCACTGTTCAGGGCATTTCAGTTGGGACGAAGTGAACAACAGAACAAATGACGCTGCTGAAGACGTGCCACCTGAAGAAGCCACCATCGAAGAAGAAACTATACTCAGTTTTGAGAAGAGAAATGGTGAAGCTCTTGGTGAAGTTACTACCACTGATGTGACTATTACCGACTATAGGACATTTCCTGATGAATCAGATGAACCCCACGTGAAGCAGAAGCCAACGAGACAGAGACCAGTACAGAAGAAGATACGTCCAGTAAAATTAGGAGACTTTGTTGACTTTTAATTTTGTGTTTGTAAATTCTGTACATTTAATTAAGTTATTGTCAATTAATATTAGTTTAATGTAAGTGGCTGTTGTTCGGGACGAACAATACTAAGGAGGGGCATTGTTGCGTCAACGAGGTCACGTGACAAGAATCATGCCACCTCCTTCTAGAAATATCTTGTTCCTTCGTGAATTGTCGGGAGACTACTAGATTGGGGGTATATATATAAGACGGTTACAACGTGACGGCAATAAGGTATTTTGTAATTGAACTGAGCACAGAGAGAATATTGTTGGGCACGTGAGACGTTCGTTGAGAATTATAGCGTTTGTTATAGCGCGACTGTTGAAATTAAGTGTATCGCAAAGTTATATTCACAAAGAATAAACCAGTTTTATTTAAGAAAGGATTTGAAACTTTACCGATAGTTCGGAAAGAATTTTTACGAAAAATTAACGAACGAACGGAGACGTAACAATATTTACAGTGAAGTAGTGCTAAATTTAGAAGTGAGAAGTCTTCACAATTTCCTTACTTCCCTCCCCAACTGCGGAAGAAGAGGTTATTATCAAACTTGTTAATCAATATAGGTACCATGTTTACTTAATAATTAAGGAATCAGACAATCAGTGTTTGGGGTATATTATTATAGTGAAAAAGGAGTATATAAATGGTCCGTGAAATTTCAACTAATAATAAAACTTCATTTGATATGAAATATTCCACAATAATCGATCCACATGTGAGCATATGAGAAATCAACACGATAACTAATTGCATTAGAAGTCTAGGAGCAGCACTCTCTCTACACATGAAATAAGGGGTTATCATTCTCTCGCAACCCAGTGGGACTACATCACTGAATATTTCTTTTTTTTTATAACTGTTTTTGTCCTGGAATGGTTAGCCTGAAAATAAATCTTTACAACATATTCTATATCCAGTTTTCAAACTCAAAGCTTCCTAAGTATGTTTTAGACAAGTATAATACTAGTAGAATCCAGTTTTTAAGACTATCTATTTCAATTTTTGTTTGTTTGTTGTAGAATTAAAGAAAAAGCTTGATCGGCTAAACTTGCCTTCTCAAGTAAATCATGATGAAGAAGAAGAGAGAGTTCCAATTATTCAGGCTTTTTCAAGTGAATCAGACCTTCCAACAACCAATCCTCACACTGTTGCTCAGTTACACCTTGGTGAGAGTCAAGATTTGGTTAGAAACACCTTATCAGGTGAAGTTGCACCTGCAGAAGATGTGAGTGAAAGGGTGTGTTGAGTTGTTATTTTTCATAGAAAACATAAACAGTGAAATATATTAATATTTACATCTCAACCAAAGAAATAAGAAAATAGCTATTTTCTACAGTAAAAGTGATTTATTTTATTTTTTTTGTAGGATGCCAAACTAAGTGAGTAAGTTATTTGGATATTATTACATTGATGAATGTATATTTAAATACTATCAATCTGCTTTATTTGCAAACTTTACTTACAATATAGTCACTCACTTTTGTCTCTCGAGCTGGTATAAAGAAGGAGATTCTTAAGAAGATAACATACTTTGAAAATGCTAAAATTATAAATATTATTTTCATAAATTGTAATCCAAATTTAAAGTATGGCACCAAAAGCTAGCTACTTATATAACTCTTAATATACTTCATTTAACTTTATAGATCAATGTAGATACTCTTCTGTGTGTGTATGTACACGTGACTCATATTTATTATTTTATTTTTCTCTTAATTTTGTTTAAATATTACTCGTGGCAGTGTATATGCCTATTCTGGTATCCCAAAATATATTAATACTAATTCACTTTCATGAACCAATCTGCTCCCTCTTCATCCAATGAAGTAAAAACACTTTTCAAGATTATTTATTGCCAGTTAAGCAGTTTTTGATTATGCAAGTTACTCAAGCCTCCTACTTCATCACTTCTCACTCTAGTTTTTAATTTTCTATTTCAATCTAAATACTTCACTTAATCTGCAAAAAAACTAATAAGTGATATAAAGTTGTACACTCTTTAGTAAATTAGTTTACACAAGTTAATGAGTCCTATTTGTATAACCACTGATAAAGAACAACTTTTTTTTTTCCTAATTGTGAGTATAATGTTTTACAGGTCCAGAACTCCTCAACATTGTCAAATGTAACTAAAAATTACAAAGACAGTCAGATAGACAAACAAGTGTCTGGGCCCAGTGTGGATTTCTGTAAATTTGAAAACTTGTTGGAGAATCTACCTGCATTTGTTAATGAACCCTGCCCCTGGGGAATGACAATTAGATGTCGTATAACTCGAGATAACAAAGGGGTGGACCGAGGATTTTTCCCTACATATTTTCTGCACTTGGAAAAAGATAATGGAAAAAGAGTAAATATTCATTTGAGAAAATAGATCAATTAATACTTAGGAAAAAATAAAACTTCTAGATGCATTAAAACAACAAATATTAAGATACGTTATTAATATTTGTTGTTTTAATCACTGAAAAGTCATAATATCTTTCATACAACATATTGTACTTCAGTATTTTATAAATGCATCTAAACATGCCGGTTGAGAATTGTAGGCTGTGATGACACAAGTAGGTTGGTATGAGGTATGACGACACTAATAGGTTGGTATGAAATGTCATAATACTAGCTAGATTTTTGTAAGCTGTCATGATACTAATAGGTTCTTGTAAGCTCTGGTGATACTAGTAGGTTTGTAAGCTGTCATGATACTAATAGGTTCTTGTAAGCTCTGGTGATACTAGTAGGTTTGTATAAGCTGTCATGATACTAGTAGGTTCTTGTAAGCTCTGGTGATACTAGTAGGTTTGTATAAGCTGTCATGATACTAATAGGTTCTTGTAAGCTCTGGTGATACTAGTAAGTTGTTGTAAGCTGTGGTGACACTATAGGTTGATGTGAGTTGTGATGACACTAGTATATATGCATGTAATTAGTACTAAATATTGATAGTGTTGAATTCTGCCACTTGAGCCCCATATCAACAGGCTTGCTTTTGCCAATAATTACAGCCTGGTCTCTGTTATTAATATTTATCACTAACCATTGGCTCACACCTGGTGGAATAGAACACTGGTTCTCTTGTAAAGTAGCTTCAATAGTATGAAACTTACAAGGTTGGTCATTTCTATCCCTCAAGTGGCATCTCAGCTAGGGCAGTTTGATTGGATTCAATGAAGATTTCGGACATTGTCTCACACCACTATGATTCAATCTGTAGTATGGCATGGTACATTACATTGGTGACAGAACAAGTATTAATTATAATCACTAATATACAACTGTTTTTTGAGAACATTTCCAACTATTATTTTTCAGACATAAAACAATTTGTACAATTTCATCTTCTCTAGTGAGTTATTTAAAATGCCAAGCTAGAAAGCATTAAATTTCCCAACAATCACAAAATGTGATTCAGTTGCACATACAGAATATGTACTTCCAGTCATTATATCTTAAATTACTATTATGCTCTCTCATAATAACAGTACCTGTTTCTTCTGACAATATAATTAACCATATTAGTTCATATCACTGTTACTGATCTGATCAGACACTTGTGTAAATTTCAGTAAGCAATGTATAATTAACCATGTTAGTTCTTGTCACTGTCAATGATCTTATCAGAGACTTGAGAAAAATTCACTGAGTATTTTCTTCTCTTTTTTTTTCTTAAGATTTTCAACCCAGTTACTTTACATTTTTGCTGTTGTTTGTGGTATCACACCTCTGAATACTACTTATTTCATGCCTGACAAATAAAATAACCCCTCCATTGTTTATTTTCATATCTTATTCAGAAAACCTGTAAAAATTATACAAATTATACCTTCATAGTATAATATTCATTTAGCCAAGACTCACAGTACCAATGATGTTTAACACACAAACTGAAATTGAAGCACCTAAGTTCTAATAACTTATTGAAGAGATGTAATAGTAATGTAAAAGAATGTAAACTTGTTACCTTCTAATTCTGTTTTACTACAACAGTCTAATTCATTAACTTTAATTCTAGAAACCTAAACAATTTCTCTAAAAATCAAATAATTTCACCATTTATGTAAACTTAGTATACACAGTGTGAATATTTTGTAAGGGAGTAATCCTGAAAAAAAAAAGACACATACACAAAAAAAACATATATTTATTGGACTAAATATTTTCATTGTTACTAAATTTGCTAGTTTTATGTAAAACTTTTATCATTATACTAGTGGAAAAAAAATCTGTCTTTTTGTTTTTATCACTATGTAAAGATTTCCATTTAGTGAATAGTTCTTTTAATTTCTTTTAGTTGTTCGTTTTATATTTATATGAAAGTGAATGTAAAGTTAGCTAGTGTGTTTTTAAGTTTTTGGGTTGAAAAATGTTAAGTTTTTGATGCAAACTTCCCTACAGAGATATTTTGAGGGTGTGTGAAAAAAAGCATTAAGTAAAAACATGTCATGCTTAATTTAAAGGATCTCTAATAATTTACTTCTTATAGTGTATGTCATTACGTGATATTCATTTTATGAATGATTATTTTCATATTCCCAATGGTCTCAGTGTTCAAGTTTTATCCACAGATTTTCTTGCTTGCCGCGAGGAAGAGAAAAAAAAGTAAAACTTCAAACTATCTAATATCAGTGGATCCAATTGATATGTCACGAGGAGGTGATTATTTTGTGGGAAAATTGAGGTAGGTTCAAGGAAGAATGAATCACTGTTTGGGGATTGTGGACAGAAAAGCTGTTCATCTTGTATATACTTTTTGTGTTTGATGTAATTCATATACTCATAGATGTAGTTATTTAGTGTAAATGTAGAGTAGAAATTAATATTTATTATCTAGTATTGCATAATGATTCATAATCAGAAGAAATATTTGAAACATAGTTTGCTTTTATACTCACTTTTTAACTTCTCTGTTTAGAAACAGCTTTGCTTGTGAATTTAATAACTACTTATGCACAAAATTTTCACTTTCCTTAGGGTGGCTGGGAGGGTGAGCTTGGGTTAGACCTGGCTTATAATTAGCCACTAAAATTTCAAAATATATATTAATAGACCCGGCATGGCCAGGTGGTTACGGCACTCGACTTGCAATCTGAGGGTCGCGGGGTCAAACCCCCGTCACACCAAACAGGCTCGCCCTTTCAGCCATGGGGGCATTATAATGTGACGTTCAATTCCAATGTTTGTTGGTAAAAGAGTAGCCCAAGAGTTGGCGGTGGGTGGTGATGACTAGCTGCCTTCCCTCTAGTCTTACACTGCTAAATTAGGGAAGGCTAGCACAGATAGCTTTGCACGAAATTAAAAAACAAACAAATAATATATTAATAATATTACCAATTATAATACTGTAGATAGCAATCATAACATTTAATCATGAATTATATTCCACAATGTATTACAGCTGTTATTCTACAGGTAAGTCTCTTGTGTTGTTGTTTAAACAGGACATTACAATTTATGCATATTCTGTTGTTTATGTAAGCTTACTAATTATTTTTAATTAAAGCTTAATTCAATATTACTAATTTTTCTCTGTATGGTAATGTTGTTTAAAATTTGCATTGACTGAGCATAAACAAAAAAGGATGTTTACTGATGTAAAATAATAAAATGTAAGTATCATTAATCAAAGTTACATACATAGTCATTGACATTCCCAATTGTTATAAATTTTGCTGATACACACTTGACTCACACAAACCAACAGAGCTGAAATGGATGTGATGTCATTCATTAAACTGGTGGTGACAGACTTTACTAGGACATATGTGTTCTTAAAAAAAAAGTGTCCTATTAGCAAGTTGGTAGAGCACTTGCCTAGCCTGTAAGAGGTTGCAAATTTGAATCCAAGCTGAGGAAATAAAAAATATTAAATTACTACAGAAAAACTGCTTCTGAACTAGTGGTCACCCCATGACCCTGAGATAAGACCAGTGAGCAGACCTTGTCTGTGAGAGAGGAAGAATGTGGTAGGTTGAGTTGTTAAAAAAGCAGTACCTTATTACTTGACCCACTAACTCAGTTGATAGAGCAGTCACCTAACATGTGAGAGTTTTTGGGCTCAAATTCAAACTGATAAAACATATATAGAAAGAGTTTACCTCACATAGGAGAAGGGGCTTCAGCTACTAAAATTTCAAAAGGGTGAGCCCCATTTTCATTTTTCAGGAAGAGCTCAATCTCTAGAATCTCCATGTAGTCAATGTCATTGCTTGATTGGTTAATTTTTCATTTTTACCTACTAATTTCAAGACAACTTTACTCTCCCTAAATGAACCACCAATAGAATTAAATCAAAAGAAACTTAACCGTGCAACTTTTATAATCTGATATAAGAATGAAAGAAACAGAATTTGACCTATTTTGCTATTCAGTTTTATTTAAAATGTTCATATGTGTTTGTGTATATATATATGTATTTTTATTTTCTGGTGCTTCTATATGTGAATAGGTCTAATATTTTTGGAACGTCTTTCACTCTCTTTGATGGTGGAATTAACTCAAAGAAAGCAAGCCTTTTTGATGACAAAAATAATCTGCGTTGTGAACTTGCCACTGTTGTTTATGTAAGCTTACTATTTATTTTTAATTAAAGCTTAATTCAATATTTTTATTTCGCTCTGTGGGGTAATATTTTTTGTCATTGTTAAAACACACTTAAAACTATTAGGTAATGACATCAAAAGAATGATCAAACTATTAAGTATTTCTTGGAGCAATTGCTTTGTGTGAGTTTCTTTTTGTTTTTCAAGTGATTACATTACTAAACTTTTTTAATGCTTAAAGTATAATGCAAATTAGAAGTGCTTAGACATGGTTGACAGGTAACAGATTGTTATAACATTTATATTGTTAAAAAAGAGGTTTTAAAAAAGAATGTTTCTTTCACTGAGCTGGTAATGTGTGCCAGTGAATGTAAGAATTGAAATGTTTGAACTATTGTTTAGAAAAATTAGGTAAAGTACTAATAAAAATTTCTAAAATTAGTAGTTAGTGTTACTTATTTATGTGAATTAAACCATTTTCATTATTCATGTAATTACACCTTTTGTGGAGGTTTTACTTGATAAAAAGAATTACATTTTTTGGCTGAAGGACAGATATTTCCTAGTTGACAGTATGATATTTGAAATAAACTTGTTCACTATTCAGTTATAATTACGGGCCTTAATATCAACTTAGAGTTGCATACACACCTATACCTAACTATGGGGACTTTTACACATACTATTTTAAAATTACTACTATACTGAATGCTACATTGAAGTACAGTAATATGCATGTATAATTCAACATGTTTTTGAATACTTTTTTGCCAAATTGAAAAGTAGGTTACAGAATAGTTTATTAAATATGTTATATGTGAAAAAATATATATTGTACATACAACATAATGAATGATGATGTTAATGTCAGTACTAAATCATTTGAATTTTCCTAAACAAACTTCAGTAGCCCTTGAGTATGTTGTTTCTTTGTTTACCTGCATGACACTTTATGCATACAATGGCTAAATAGCCAAGTCAGAGACCCATATGGTTCAGATATAGCCATTCCTACTTTTGAACTATCAAACAAATGAAATGTAATCACTCTTAATAAAATAGCAGGATCTACTGACACTCTTATAATGCTACACAGCTGAAAATCAAAGAGTATTTGGCAGCACCGCATCTTCAACTCAAAATCTTCAGATCCCCAGTCTGATAGGCAAACCATTAGGCCACAATCAGGCCATGAGGATAGTGAAATACTGAAAACATAGCATACCCATTATCATATTATTTTATTTAGTTTATTCTACAGAGTTCATGTAGAGTATTTCAGTACACTTAAAACTTTATTGTAAAACTATCATGATTAGGAATATTATCATTATTTGTTTGACCTAAGGTTCACATATAAACATGATATTAAACTAGAACATAGAAGTTAAACAATATTACTGTGTGTGTATGATTGCATATCAAGTAATGGACAAACTTTTTAATTATTAAGAGTTATTAATTATGAACCTTAAGAATTGAAGCATGTGTTGTAGTTCAGTTCCAGAATTTTTAAATTTTTGTTCAAGTTGAAAATGTATAAGTTAGAAACTATTTTTGATAAATTCAAATCAACTAAAGTGACAGTAAATACCATACACATTTTTTAGAAAGATTATAGTTGCCTGTTTCCGCTATTATATATGGAGTCAGATTGAGCACACACTAAAAAGATTTTAAAAAATCAGTAATTTTTATCTTACAGGAAACTAATGTGTTGGGATTTAAAGGTCCAAGACAAATGACTATTATTATTCCACAAATTTCATCTGACAACAAGAGGATAGACATAAGACCAGTATCTGCAAGTGAACTTTGTTTTTTAATCTCTTTTTTTTTTTTAATTATTGTAACTAAAAAAAGTGTTTTTTAAGAAATGAAAGTGTTGAAACCTGAAAACATTATTTTTGCTCTTGAAACATATTTACAACAACTATTATTAGGTCATGTAGGAAGTTAATTAAAAATCTAGAGCTTGTTTGTTTATCTATGTCAAAGCCAAACAATTGGCTATCTGAGCTCTGTCCACCAAGTGGAATTAAAGCACAGGTTTTAGCATTAGAAATCTATAAGCTTAATGCTGACCTGCCAGGGGACATCTAAAACTTATAGCTTTGTGTTCTGTTTTTTTAACTACAAATCATTCTTTTAAATATTTATAAAGAAATATCCCAAATATTTTTATTACATATCAAATATCAGGTTATATTATTTTTAATACTAAAACTAATCTAACTTTATTTCTTTATCTAAAAATAAAAGTTAAATATGGCTTTGTGTTCAGTTTTTTAAATATCTTATTTTCAAAACTTCAGGATACTGATACTTTATTTGAAAAGTGGAAAAGAGGAAACATTGAAAACTTGTTGGAACTTCACAACAAAGCTCCTGTGTGGAACAATGGTAAGGTATTCCAAGATCAGTAAAAATCATGTGTATTAGTAGAACCAAATTTATTAGTATAACCAGTGGTGGTACCTATTACATGGTTATACTTAATTTGTTCACTGCAAGTTATCAAGCAGATTCAGTAAATTACTAACACCTTAAGCTGTATGTAGTAAAATTATTATTGAACTTCCATGTCTCTGTTTTCATTTTTAAAATTATACTACCCACAAAGTTTTTTTGTTTTTTCAAAGAATTTTTTCATTAAATATATTGAAGTTATTGTGCTACATATTTAAATAATATATTGTCATGCACTTAATTTCATTTGGACATTTAGAGAAAGAGTTATTTTTGTAATCTTCAAAGAGAATTTGGTATAGGCACTGTCATTTTAAATTTTATTGTGACTTATTTACCTCTCACTTAGGAGTGCTGTCTCTCACAAGTTTTTTATCTTATGAATTTTTAATTTCATTCTCATTTTTACAATTTTCTGTGAAATTTTGGCCTTAAGCTGTGAATTTGAATTTTATATTTCTGAGTGTTGACATATTCGTAAAGCCACTATTTAATTTTAAATAATTAAAATTTACTACTAATGCTTATTATATCTCATGAACTTATTTTGAATTCCAGAAAGTCAGATGTACATACTAAATTTTCATGGACGTGTCACCCGACCATCTGTGAAGAACTTTCAGATTGTTCATGACAATGATGGTAAGTAAGAATCACACAGAACTGGTAATCTTATTACATCTCAAGCTATGATGAAGGAATAGTCAATAAATTACTTAAATTTGCAGATGATATTAAGGTCTTGGGTGCTGCTAGCTGTGAAGAAGATGCTGCTGATTTACAAAAGGATTTAGATCATTTAGTGAGTTAAGCAAATAAATGGCTGCTGGGTTTTAATTATACTAAATACAAGATAATGCATATGGACTATCATAATTTGAATTGTAACTATAATTTGGATGGGAATAACCTTAACAGTGTCATGAAAGAAAGGGATCTTGATGTAATGGTTGATCAGTCTCTTAAGCCATCCAAACAGTGTGCTGTTGCTAATAGTAGGGCAAGTAGGATCTTAGGTAGTATCTACAGGTCACTGGTTAGACTACATTTGGAATATTGTGTTCAGTCTTGGGTTCCTTACCTTAGAAAAGACACTGAATTGTTGGAAAGGGTTCAGAGGAGGGTTACAAGAATGGTGCCTGGGATGGAGGGGTTGTCATACAAGGAGAAGTTAAGATCTTTAAAACTGTTTCATCTTGAAAAAAGAAGAGTTAGAGGGGATCTGACTGAGGTGTTTAAGATTGTAAAGTGAATTGATAGTGTTGATGCATCATCTTTTTTTCATACTTAACGGCAATAATAGTAGGACTAGAGGACACAAATATAAATTTTGGCAAGGTAGGAGTCATCTTCTGGTAAGACAGTTATATTTTTCTAACAGGGTAGTTGGTCTTTGGAATGGGTTGTCTTCGGATGTTGTGTAGACAGTAAATTTAAGTGAATTTAAGAGAAAGTTTGATAAATATATATATGTTAAGGGCTGGCTTTAAATTTTTTTTATTTAATAATTTTAGTTTAGTTTAGAGGATGGCACAGCTGAGATGGACCAGTAAGTCCCTTGTTGTCCCTAAGAGTTAAGTTGTGTTCTGTTATGATATGGTGAAAATATATATTCAGATAATCTTTATAGTTTTTACACCTCAGTATTTTTACTATATTAAATATACAAGAGGTGACAATATGATAACAAAGAGTAATTTTACTTCAAGTCATGAACAATATGTATCAAACTTTTTATGTTATACTTCTTAACAAGAATTATTTATGTGGTAGTGTAGTGTATTGTCTGATCACCTAATTCATTCAGATATTTATAGAACAATTCATTTATGCAAAACTGATTTGTAATGTAATCTAGCAAGTGATTGCTCAAGCCTTATGAATAAAGAGAAGTGGTCTTATCAAAGTTGTAGCAGTCTAATATAATACACCACTACTACCAGGGTTCAACAAAAAAACAAAAATTTATTAACCCTTTCGCTGCTGAATTTTCATATGGAAAGTTGTCTACAGTGCCAGAATTTCTGGTGAAAAATGCCTATTTTGAAGGGTGTTATTTTAAAATTCCTAAATCACCCTAAAATGCACTACAAGTGTTAGAAAAGAACATTAAAATAATAAATACAACATTTTAGAAGAAAAATAATGTATTTTTATTACATTTTTTCTTCTAACGTCTGAAATGCTTGACCGTGTGGTACTTAGTGAAGCAGTCTGGAAGACACATGGGCAGGCATCGCCCCTACCCCTCCTTACAATTCATGCATCCATGTCTAGTTTGCTTCCTCTTTGGATGTGAAGGGCTTTTACTGCACACTACACAGTTAGGCTTGTATTTAGGATCTGGATAAGCTATTGGAAAGTGATGCCCTGTTAGTTGCTCCTCCCTATCCTTTGGGTTATCCATCAACTTTCTCCCTTTCCTTTCAAATTTATTTGGAGGACTAGAAGCACACCTTTTCCCTGCATCAATGTGGCTTCATTTTTGAATTAGGGTTGGCAGTTGTTTACAGTATATAGGAGTTGACTAGTGCTGCCTCTCTGATGAAGTGATAAATTGTGTGGTACCACTTTTTACATTTGTGGCCTTATGGGTAGCTGGTACATTTCTGGTCAAACAAGTCAACTCCTCCCATTGAAGCATTGTAATTGCAGGCCACATTTGACTTCTTCACATCCCTAAATCCAGTCTCTGACTGCTTGGATCAAATTTGTTTTTGAGTGTAGCCATTGTTATTGATTCTCAACAGGAACTTGATCCTTGCAGTGTCATGCCAGGAGCAGACAAGCATATCACCTTTTCTGTAATAAACAGGATTATCACCTTTCTTCAGCTGTAACCTTGCTGGTCTAATTTCTTCTGGAAATCCTCTTCTATTCAATCTCATAGTTCTACAGGCACCAGTACCCCGTTCCTTAAGGGCTTCAAAGAGGCCAGGGCTGGACTAGAAGTTATCAACATATAAATGGTGGCCAAGGTTCAAGTATCCATTATTGCCCATCAGTTTCATAACAACATTATGACCCAAACCTTGCTCTAGTGCCACAGGGTTGTTGTCTCTACCAGTATAAACATCCCAGTTGTTACGTATTACAATTTTGAATGGTCTTTAACCAAGTTGAATGATAATTTAAATTTAATAGTTAAATTGTACTTTAGATTTAGCTGTTAAGTAAAAGCTGATACATAGTCAGTTTATGATATCTGCCAACAAGATTGATACACACAGTTTTCTCTTTTATACAAATATGTTTTAATATACAAACAACAATACAATTTACAATAACAGTTATTACAAATAGTTTTTACACACAATGATTTATATACAAAAATTTTACAAATTTACAAGTAATATAAAGTCCTCTTTCTAGTCTGAAACTTCCTTGATATCTTATTGAGGGTTCATGATGAGGGAGTTAATTACAAGTTGATGTAAATACAATTTGCTTAATGGGGAGCTAGTTAGCTTTGTCCTTTGTTATTCACCAGCCACACACACCGAGTTTTCCACAATGAAGTTATATAATGTTTTCATAAAAATACTAATGTTTGATGAGAATCAACTGAAGTTAAATGATTTGTAATGTTCGAACTTTGTAAATGCTCCTGGTCAAATATCTTAAGTTTCTAATTGATAAGCTCACAGTTATAGCTTCCGAAGTTTATAGCACACTGACTATAGTAAACTAATTATAGATACTCTTTTTTTTTTGGCATGTCACATTGGTTATATTTATAGGTGTGTGGGGAGTTTCTCGAAAATTCAGATTACATAACAATATTAACATGCTACACTAGAGTTTACATACATGCATATATTGTTGATTCTTACTTTAGAGAATATGCAGGAGTTTTGCAATACATATTTAACACTATAAGTTATGTACATTTGTAAATATAAACTTAATTGAAGTAAACATCTATATTAGAATAAATATATATAACAATAAATCCATCACACAGTCTAACAGGTAACCTGGCTTGCTCTCACACAGTGACCACAGTTTTATACCCCCTTGTAGGTTTGTTCAGTATGTACTAACGAAAGTATATCCATCCCTTGAACTTCCTCATCGATTCATCAATTATAAGTTCACGATGTGGAATGTGATACTGCCTATACAGTGGCTTCACAATGTTCATGAGGGGAGTAATTTTATGCAAAGGATCACATCCTTCCTCTCCACGTGGAACACTTTGAGAATTTTCACAAAAATGAAGGAATGAACTGATCAGCTGGTAACGATTGTGTGGCAGTACATCTCGATAACTAGGGGAGTGGGCGATACCCCCAGTTGCTCAGTAGTCACCAATCCTTGGCTTGGAACACCTCATCATTATCTACAAGCCAACATAGGCTTTGATTTCATCTGTAGTACACTCAACCCAATCATTGTAGCAAGAATTTTCAGGGAGGTCTGCCAGATTACCAAAGAACTCCAGGGCATAGGTGTTAGTCATCTCACAAATAAGCTCCAATGTTTCCTGAGGGAATAACAAGTAGAAATAATCTACTGGGTGGTTACCGTCAGGCAAAGGTGGAATCAAAAGGACAGGCTTTTTGGCATAAGCTGGGCATCAAATTGGGATATAATTGTCATAATCATCATCACTGACCTACTTATGATCAGCATCAGCCATGCCCCCTTGGCTACTATCATCATTATCATTACTTACAGCATTATCGGTATCTGTGTCACTGTTTTCCCAATCGTCATCACCAAATTCACTCAATTCTGAGTCAGAATCTCGCATTATTTCGTCCAATACATCCTCTGTGGCAAGCCATTGTTTTTGTTTATGTTTACCTGTTGACATGCTTCTGGTCAGTGCCCTCAAATTGGGTCAGAAGTCAAGAATTTCTCAAAAATAACATCCATAGTCGAGGAAACTACACTAAATTACATTACGTTTACTTAAAAACCATGTAGGTGCAGCACAGAGTAAATTACAGACCAGTAAACAGAACTACATGAGGAAATCAACTTAAGTTGCATTTGGCACTCTACCTGGGATTCGACTAAAGTCTCGTTCGGCACTCTACCTGGAATTCGACTAAAGTCGCATACGCCAGTGAAAGGATTAAGCTCTAACAACACTTGAAATAAATCTTAACACTTACCAAAAATCACAGTTAATGAACAAATGCCCAGCCAGAACTTGATACTAATGTTAATGAGCAATAAAACATGAATATCATTATTAATTATTTCAAATAATGGAATCAGGAAAAAGAACCAAAAGAAGAAGATACCTAATTCCAAAAAATACAATATTCCAAAATCACTTTGCTATATAAATAACAATATTGAGTGACAAACACCAATAATTCACTAACTATCTCATGACTCATTTTATGAAGCTTATAGCAGGGTATTTATTCACTCTGTGAGGTCACAAGAGTACATCTCATGTGATCATAAATTTACATAACCTTTTATTACATTAATAATATCTGTACATCACTGCTAGAGAAGCTAGTGTCAGTTTTGCAACACATACATACATATTTACTCAAAATAAATGTGCAATTATGATATTATACACTTCACAATTTCTCTTTTTTGTAGTTTCAGGGTCCCATAATTTTCACAGTTTTCCAAATAAACATCTCAACTGACTCCCATGCATTAGTGTGGTG